AGTTGCTGGATGGTTTTCAGCTGTTACCCTGCTACCTGAAGCCTGAACCTGTTCCTAATCTACTTCCCTACTGCCCTTAAATGTGTATTTGCTCTGCCACCCTGCTATGAACCTCTGCTAGTTCCTGACCACAGCTGGTCTCTCAGTGTGACCTTGGTTAATTCCTAATGAAGGCTCTTCTCTGCTGACCTTCTGGTGTGACATTGGCCTGCCTCCTGACCACTGCCTGCTACCCTATCTGTTACCTGTCCAAACCATGCTTCCAGCCTGCTGTGGGTTCCAGTGTCCTGGCCAGCTGCCTTCTGGTTTGCTTCTCCTAGAGACTATTTGTGTGAATCTGCATAGCCAAGCCAGTCTCCAGAAGTGAGCTTCTGATAACTGGACTCTTGTCACCCATGCCACTCTGTGCCCTCTCCCTCCCTGTGCGCCACAGCAGGGGGTTTTGGACCAAAGGTTTAATGGAAACCCTATAATCATATTGGCCTCCAACCAGAATATGCGATTTTATTTCACAACTTTTCTATCAGGAATGACGATGACCCTGATACCCTACATTTATGTATCCTAGGAATCTAGGAAGTTGTTGAAAATGATGGGCAGATGGAAAGCAGCACTCACTACATAAGAGGGATATTTTCAAGTAAGCTTTAATTGCATTAACAAAACCAACTATAGTATGAATTCATATTATGATGCTGATGCAACAAGATAGTATATACTGTGACTTTAGAACTCTTTCAAATTAAGTTTTTCCACTAACTGCACAATTTCACATGCAGAGTCCCACACCAAAAAATTTCTTCCACACACGTGCTAAATATTTGGTTGCAGAGCTCACACTAGCTAAATTGTAAAAAGTCATGAAATGAATCCAATACACTTCATGGTACAATATGGTACCTCGGCCAGATTAGATGTACTGTAGACATCTATCCTCCAGTTTTCTGCCCAATAGCCCTAACGTAGCCTGAAATAACACACCATGTGCCAGGTCAACACTCAGGTTTCATCTGTATATTCCTTGGGGTCATGGGGAGGGAGGCAACTGAGGTGAGTCCTCATGTGATATGTACTTTGGTTTTTGAGGCGAAGATGGTAATATTTTTATTTGGTATGTGTTCTTTATTCATTGACTGTTTTGTTTCACGCAGTATGGTTTATTTATGTCCATAACTTGTTTCATGAGTTTCCAAGGATACTTTCCTCCCTGAGAGGGTAGGTCTTAAAAATCCATAGCTTCACTACACCATAGATCAGGGCTCAAAATTTCCACTCGCCTGCTCGCATTTGGCGAGTAAAAATAAGGTGAGGGCGAGTGGAAATTTGGGTCTCCAAGTACCGGTCCGCGGCCCAACTCCGGCCCGCGAGCCGGTACTATGTGGCCCGCAGCCAGCTGACATGTCAGGCACACGGTCGCAGACCGCATACCTGACTTGCGGGAGCAGCTCCACGGTCTGCATCTGTGTCAGATGCAGACCGCAGAGCAGCTCCTGTCAGCTCCAGCTTCCTTCGGCCAGAGCTCTGACAGTTCTGAGCTCCGGCCGAAAGAAAGAATGTATGTGGGAATCGATGCCTGGCTATCTGGGTGTGATAGTGAGGTCTGCTGCAGACCTCACTAATCACTCACAGATAAACCAGGGATTAATCCTGCTCACAGCCTCCTCCCTGCAAAGACGTGGACAGGTGAGGCAGCTGGGGGGAAGGGGTTGAGTGTATTATAATTTTGTGTGGGGGGTTGATAGGGGGGGGGGGGTATATAATTTTTTTGTGTTTGGAGGGACCATACACCTTACAACCATTGCACAACGTTCGTTATGCGATGGTTGTAAGGTCATTAAAATCTCGTACAATCTGCCCATCGTGCCTGCTGGGCACACAGAGCAGGCTGCTTGGTGCATGGAGTTGAATAAAGGAGAGAAAGCTGCAGAGGGATGCCAAAGTGAATGCTTTATAGGGGGAGAAGAGAGAGACACAAGGTGGGCTGTGGGCTGTGGGCTGGACAGCTCTGCAGGGTGATGGCAGGGTGTGCCGAAGGCAAGCACTGTAACCCCTTCTCTCCCAGAAGCCCAGCATGGTCACCTAGCTGACTCAACTTTTATTTGTTTATTGCTAGATGCTGTATATGTGTTCTGCTGTGGGTGACATTACAGCTCATATTGTTGTTTGATGGAACTGCATGTCATGGAAGAGATTCATTTTGTTACCATGACTGTGCTGAGGTTTGCATCTGTCTGTCTGACTCTTGTTTGTGGCACAGTAATTAAAGCATACTTTGTAGGTACACGGACTGGGGCACATGTCACCATGTACACAGTAACCTCAAGTTTGAAAGTAGAATTACAGTCAAATAGCAAGCAGTAGATATATGCAAAAACATTTTATAAAATATAAAAAAGTTACCAAAGAGGTAAATACTTACCTCTGACTCCGCCGCTCGCTCCTAGCTGTAGATCTGAAAATTCTCGAGCGGTCTTGCAGGATGATGGGGCGGGGGCGCATGCGCAGTGGAGATCATCAGCGGGGAGAAGAGGAGAGACACAGTGGAGGTGAATGCATGCAGCTGTGAGCGTGCATGTCGGACAGACACCATGGGACAGGAGGAGTCTGCGGTAGATCAGAGAAGAGACCGGCACCAGCGCCGGCACCGGCACCCCTCACCTTGATTCCCGGGATCCGCTGCCCCATCTTGGATCCCGGGACCGGCTCCGAGGGCGTCAGGAGGACGGGAGATCAGCTCCTTGCTGAAGTTCGCTACCTAATTCATCTTCACTGGGTGCCCAGGGTTGTACCACCCCAACAGAAAAAATAATCATCTGTAGCCCTGCAACCTCTGGAGGAACCCTGGCTGGGAAAGGTTGCATGTTAAATGTTTATGTTGTGAGGTGAGGCGAGAGGTGGAGGAGCTGGGTCAGCAAATAGCATAATTAAATACATTTTTCAATCATATTGCACCGCACGATATTTGCGGCACCGCAAATTGCAGCGCGCCCGATCACACTGCAGGTGCGTTTGGGGTGCTGTTGAGATGCATGGGACACAACTCACCTCCCACACTGAAATAGCACAGGAGGTGCGTTGTGCGGTCCTGAGGGCTAATCGCACAAAACCATGTGATTAACGCATTGAGATGGTGTGAACGGCTCTCCAGCCTGCCTCCTCCCCTGCTACAGCAATGCAATGTCCCTTGGCATTCTTACATCCTATACATTGTCAGAGTTGTCCCAAGGCAGGGTGACACCCGGAGCAAGTACTGAGAGACCCCCCAGCGTGACGTCATCGTTGCACCGCTTGGTGATGGATGCCGGTGTTCTATCAATTCTCCGGACCCGTGAGATTTCTGGCAGAGAGAGGAAGGGACGCGGGATCCCCTCCTCTCTCTCTCTCGAGCAACTGTTGGGCTGACACCAGGGGGGTGTCACCAAAATGATTGTCAGTCATTTTGGTGTCACCTTACCAATGGTGTCACCCAGGTGCTGGCCACCCCCCCCCCTACTGACACCACTGACAGTGTGTAAAGCTTGTGATGACTCAAGTATCCTTAGACCACTACAGTGGAAGAGGAGAGACTCTCCAGGAACAGGTCTAAGAACAAGCCGGCCCGGAGGATCGGGTGAGTATATCTTTTCTATTTTAATCCCAAGTCTAGACCAAAACGAGCAGTTAACCTTGGCAGTGCGGGAGTAGCTCCATTGCAAGGGTTAATAAACCCTCTCTTTACCTCAGTCGCTGCCGAGATCAGCTGTGCCTGTCACGGCGATGCTATCAGTGGAGATCAAAGGGAGATCGTGTACTGAGAGCAGGGATGGCCAAACTCCGGCCCTCCAGCTGTGGTGAAACTACAAATCCCATGAAGCATCTCTCTCCGGGAGTCATGTCTGTGGCTGTGAGAATCTTGCAAAGCCTCATGGGATTCGTAGTTCCACCACAGCTGGAGGGCTGCAGTTTGGCCATCCCTGACTGAGAGCAATAATTTTAGGGCCATCAAATGCTTTTAAAGCGTCACCTATGGACAATTTTGGGTGTGGTAGTTTTTCTGCGATTTCACGGGCACGCACAATTTTAAAGCTCGACATGTTTGGTGTCTATGTGCCTGACGTGACCACGTCTTTTATATTTTACCAAAAAATTAGGGTGATAATAAATGTTTCATAACATTTCATAGGGAAACAGGGTTTTTTTTAAACAAAATGTAGGGTACTTTTTTTTGTTATATAGTAAAAAATAAAAACCCCAGTGGTGATTAAATACCACCAAAAGAAAGCTCTATCTGTCCCCAATAAATGGTATAAAATTCATTTCAGTACAGCGTTGCATGACGGAATAAATGTCAGTCAAAGTATTGCAGCGTTGAATACTGAAAAATGGCCTGGCCAGGAAGGGGGTGTAACACCCTGGTCTTTAAGTGGTTAAACACTCACAGAAGGAAAGACACCTATGAAGTGTGAAGGATTGAGGGAGCTTTGCCAGGGATAAATCAAATTTGTAGCCAATTCAATGGCACGCTGCAAATAAATAAATAAATGTAACACAAATAAACATTTTGAACTACTTGATTTTCTGTGCTACGATGGTGAAGCCTGCAACTCTATACTATTACATGGACAGAGTCCTATGCCTTGCACAGCCCGCGCAGTCCATGTCCGGAGGGATGCCGGGGATGCCTGCTGTCAGAGCTCGGGGTGGGAGGTGTTTGGGCAGAGCTCGGTGGGAGGTGGCGGCCAGTGACTATGAGATCACACGGCCTTATGTGAGAGGCCCGCTCTATTCCTCATTTCCCCGATCGACCAATCAGAGAACGGAGAGCCGGATGCCATCACAGCCCGAGTGACCTCATCATCATCATCATCACAATCACACTCCAGCTGCTGCGAGGAAACTTTCATTGAGCACATCTCGTGTGCCGTGCTGCCGTCATGTCCTGAGCTCCCTGTAGGCTGGGATCGGAGTGCACTGACAGGACTCGTATCGTTCGCTGTGATTGCTGCTTGTGAAGGCACACCATGGGATTGCCTCCGCTGGAATTCAGTGATTGCTATTTGGACAGCCCGCAGTTCAGGGAGAGGCTGAAATCGCACGAGACTGAGCTGGACACGACCAACAAGTTCATTAAAGAGCTTATCAAGGATGGCAAATCACTGGTGGCAGCACATAGAAGTAAGTGTGGGCAGTGGGAAAGTGGGCGGGTGGCATGTGCCTGAGCCCTGTGATTGAATGAAGTCTGGGTGAGAGTTCCTGCACAGCCTCCCCTATCTGTGTGTTATCATTATGGCAGCAATAAGGAGAGGCTGGGCAGGTGTGGGAACATAGCTATGGCAGCAAATCAATGCAGAGTATCCGCTTGCTCTACTAGTAAGAGGTTACATCTAGAGCAACCACAGGCTGCAGAGCACCAGAAAATAACATTACGCAGCATTTCCTGTATATCACTGCAGCAGAGCTGTGAGGGTCACCTGTCACTAGCAGAGCTCCACAACACAGGCTTACTCGCCTGTCATATAACGGATTGCTGGGTTCTGTAGTCCTCTCCTGGGGAGGGTCACAGTGTGCTGTAGTTATGTATCTGATTGCTGGGCTTTGTAGTGCTGTCATATCTGTTTGCTGGGCTCTGTAGTTGTGTCCTGTGCAGGGTCACAGTGTGCTGTAGTCATATAACTGTTTGCTGGGCTCTGTATGTGCTGTAATCATTTACCTGATTGCTGGGTACTCTGGTCTGTAGTCTTGCCTTGTGCAGGGTCACTGTGTGCTGTAGTCATATGTGGCTGTTGGGCTCTGTAGTCCTCTCCTGTGCAGGGTCACATTGTGCTGTAGTCATGTATCTGATTGCTGGGCTTTGTAGTGCTGTAGTCCTATAACTGTTTGCTGGGCTCTGTAGTCCTGTGCACAGACAGTGTGCTGTAGTCCTATAACTAATTGTTGGCCTCTAGTCCTGTCATGTGCTGGGTCACAGTGTGCTCTAGCGATATAACTGATTGCTGGGCCCTGTAGTTCTGTCCTGTGCACAGACACAGTGTGCTTTAGTCCTATAACTGATTGGTGGACTCTAGTCCTGTATTGTTCAGGGGCACAGTGTGGTGTAGTCCTATAACTGATTGCTGGGCCCTGTCCTTTTGCACAGACACAGTGTGGTGTAGTCCTATAACTGATTGTTGGGCTCTGTAGTCCTATAACTGATTGCTGGGCCCTGTAGTCCTGTCCTTTGCACAGACACAGTGTGGTGTAGTCCTATAACTGATTGTTGGGCTCTGTAGTCCTATAACTGATTGCAGAACTCAAGTCCTGTCCTGTGCAGGGTTACAGTATGCTGTAGTCATATAACTGATTGCTGGGCATTGTGGTCTATAGTCCTGTCCTATGCAGAGTTACAATGTACTGTACAGAGTCTGTCAAATGGATGGTACATACAACCTTTGTCTGTAAGATGACATTACTAACCAATGTATGAAAAGTGAAGGACGGGAGCAGTATTGAATTAAAATGATATAAAGCCAGTTTTGACGGCAGGTATTGTAGGTGTGTGTATGTTGGTCAGTTCTTTTTAAGTATTTCTTTGTGCTTGTACCTTTTTTTTTTTTTTTTTTTTTTTTTTTTTTTTTTTTTTTTTTTTTTTTTGGGTACCTGAGCTGCACTTCGTGTTCACTATTTGGGGAAGCATTGCACATAATGGTCGGTTCACTAAAGCATGATATACGGCATATCTTTATTACTGTGTGTTATTTCCTACATTTAACAATAACATTTCTTATCGCACGGAGTAGCTGGGTTTACCACATGCTTGTGTTTTTATGGCTTTTTGCTGTATTTTGACTGTAAAAGTCACTTCACCAACATTCACACTGGTATCTCCCCTTAAAGGAGACGTGTACTTATGACATTTTGAGACTTTTATTTCTTAGTTCCCTTGCTGTCTTTTGGTCAAGTGACTTTGGCACTCTCTGGCCCGCTGACTGAGAACAAATATGCAGATTTAGAAATGCCACTGACATTTGTTTATCTGGATATTTATTCCAGGTCATTGACTCTGAATACTAACACCTTCTGCCAGGTAATGCAATATACGTGTCACTAAGGCGGGTGGGCCCTAGTGCTGGCTGGCCCCTTGTTCTATGCCGAGAGCAACCTCCGAGCACAGTGACTGAGCTGCCGCCCACAGCTACTGGCCACTGTTTATGATCAGGACTTATGAGACCGCTGATCACATGATCACAAAGTCCACCTCCCATTCAGAAACCCCTTTTAAAGGTTGTCGTGAGCCGGAACGAAGGGGTCAATGTTCAAAACAGCCGGGCAACTTCCAATTTCAGAAGGAGGTCAGCAATGGCAGCTTGCATGTTTCTTTCAGTGCAATGAACCTATGTTGTGCCCATGCTAAATGGTAGAGTGACCGACTCTCTTTAAAGCCCGTGCTCCAACCCACTTATACTTGCCTTACCCGCACTGCTCTGATGCTTCGTTTCTCCACATGCTTGAATACAACATCATGGGGGGAGGACACATGCCCTCAATATTTGGGATCACAGGGAAATTCATGTCTGCTTCCAGGGAGCAGCACAGGAGCGTGGGGAAGGAATAGAATTGGGCAGGGGAGGGCTTTAAGGGAATTGTCACTTTGCTCTGAATGTGCAAAGCAACAGAGACCACCTATGACCACCTTACCCATCCTGCATGGTTTTTCTAAGTTTCCTTAGCTGTTGAAGCAAGCTACCCTCCCCTGCATCCCCCCTCCAGGTCCTTTGCTGTCGCCAGGTACAGGGGCCTGCTGATCTACTGCTGCAGCTGGTCCCATACTGGCCAGTTCCCTTGCAATGACGTCACTCTTCTGGATCCTAGAGAAACCTGTTGCTGGAAAGCCAATAGGAAGTGTCCACTTCATACAGGCCGTGACATGGACACCTGAAGAAAGCGCCAACTGGAAGTAAACAAAGGCCAAAACTCAATACCAGGGGTGTTAAACTCCAGCCCTTTAGATGTGGTAAAACTACAAATTCCATCATGCATCTGTCTCTGGGAGTCATGCCTGTGGCTGTGGGCTAGAGTTTGACCACCCGTGCTTAATACTTGAGCTTTGTTGTTTAGCTAGGTTTTTTTTGGGGGGGGATTCATTTTATCCCGAAGAGGAGCTGTAATGCCCCCTCTTCAGCAGCGCACATTTAACCTCACTTTGCTCTCCTCCGCTGCTCAATTCAGCAGTCAGAAATGAGGAAGGGAAGCCCTGTGTAAGCCCTGAACTGCTATAGTTGAAGAGTACTGTACAAAGCAGAGGTAGGCAACTTTGGCCCTGCAGGTGTTGTGGAACTACAAGTCCATTGAGGCTTTGCAAGACTGACAGTTACAGGTGTGACTTGCAGAGGCATGCTAGGATTTGTAGTTAATGCCACAGCTGTAGACCTGGAGTGTCCTACCACTGGTGTAAAGTCTCCCTGACCGGTCACCAAGCACCAGCACTGTCACATAAGAATGTGAAAAAAGGACAGCAATAAAATAACTCAGTGAAATATTAACTCCTGAGAAATAATGGCTTTCAGTAGCTAAGTAGTGGCGGCTTCATGCAAAATAAAAACATATTGTACATCATAGCAATATTCATGTCTGTAAATTGAACATTATGAAGAGGAAATCATTACATGATTGGATACATATTGCAATCACCGTAACTTTGACTTTTGAGTGGGTTGACCCCCATAGATGTTTGGGATACTAAACAGTCATGGATGCTGTGTTTACAGATGGGAATGCTCACAAGGTATCCCATCTCCATGGAAATGAGCCTTGTTCAGGCTGTCTTATCTACAGCAGAATCCTGTTATTAAATGGTTATTCTGTAGGCTTGATGCATCTGAATGTTTAAAAATAACTCCTGGATTGGTGAATCAGCTACACAGCACAGCCTGAAGTGCCCGGAGTTCCAGTGTAAATGTATTAAAATAAAGGTCATATATATATTGTGGTTGCTATGAGGCTTCCACTTCCCTATCGGTCCATCTGTACTGGGACAAGAGAGTAGTTATTTATGAGCACATTTGTATGTATTCCATACCACACGTCACTTTATCTGTGTTGTACTATGTGTTTCTATTTGGCTGCTTAGTTGTTATGGTTCTCAAGTGGATTGCATAAACAGCATCCAGATGATAAGATGCTTAAAGCTGAACTCTGGGATACATAAATATTGTCTAAATACAAGTGACATGTGTGTGTTCTTACTTGAATCTTCATGTTTTTTTGTGTGTTTTTCAAGATCTGTGCAGTAATCGAATGTGAAATTTTGCCTCTGTGCAGGATCTTCCTGTAATAAAGACCAGTCACTGCTGCTCTCTCTCCAAGTGTACGGTGACTGGTCTTGTATCCACCCCCTCCTGTAGTTTTCTGCAGGCAGCCCGTAGTAGACAGGGCCTGCTGTGTCCCTCCCACAACTCTGTTCTTTGCACAGTGATGCCACTGCTACTTTCAAAAGGTAACAAATGGGTTTGCAAAGGTATTTGGTGCACAGAAAGTGGATTTATATCCCTTGCATTTATTAAGAAGTATGTTTTAAATGAAAGTTCTTGTGCCTGGAATCTAGCTTTTTAAGTGCATTTCCATATCTGCTATATATATGTAAAACTATATATTTTGTGTTCCCATACACACAGCAATAATAATAATAATAATAATAATAATAATATAATATGTAAGAAGATATTACATCAGCCTCTATGTATGGCCAAAATATATGGACAGGCATCTCAATTATTGAGTTCAGACTTGTAGGTCTCTAAAGCTGGGCAGAAGGTTACGTTTATCAAGCTGCTGAAACAGAAATGCCCATTTTCGGTTTGGCATACAGAAGTTCATCTCCCTCACCTCCCTTACATGCGTATTGAAATTAAGGAATTCTTCCTTTGATTAGGTTGGTGTTGCTTCATTTTTTCAGTATATTCTGATAGTATTTGTCCCCATACAGTCCAGATGGTATTCTTCTTTAATAACTCCCTGCTATGAACAAGGTTTCATTTGCACATTACTATTTAGATTGTAAGCCCTCATGAGCAGGGCCCTCCTTAACATCCTGTCTTGATATGTATTGTGATTGTAATGTTTTCCTTATATTGTAAAGCGCTGCGCAAACTGTTGGTGCTATATAAATCCTGTATAATAATAATAATAATAATAATATT